ATCCTAAATTTTTTAAGTCCCTTTTTCTACATCTGGAGTTAATTATTTTAAATGCTAGTGCTGCATAGTCCATTTGTATTTCAACATTAGTTCGTTTTGCAAACATTTCCAGTGTAACTACTGTGTAAAGGTTACTGGGTGTACAGAGATAAGGCAGGTCTTCAAGGAACTCCAGGTCTTAGGTGAGTGTCAGGAAAGGGAAGGGGTATAGGCAGCACAAAAAAACATGCAATTACAATAACATTTACTTTTTTCAGGTTAGAGATCGCCTTCTCTTAGTTTTTGTATGAATAATTTAGGAGATGAAAAAGATGACATTAACCCTGGTGGTCAAAATCAGTTCCATTCTAGATGTGTAGAAACCAGCAAATAGTCCAAATCTTCTCAGTGACTTGGGTTGTCCTTATTTTCCCTGTGTAATTTTTTTTCTTTATTATAAAAGGAAATTGAGACTTGCTGTTAACCCATTTACTATTTTGTAGAAATTTTGTGTTAGAAAGGGCTGGTGACAAAATTTTATGTGTGTCCCTTTATTTTTGAAAAGGTTACTTTTTTACTCCTTTTATTTTTAGTCTATTTAATGTCCTCTGTTTCTCCTTCTTTTCCACATTAATTACAAACCTTCTATATAATAGGCAGAGTACTAGATACTAGGATTATAGAAAACTTTCTTAAATTTTTCCTTATGATGTGGATGGCAAGTAATGGCTGCTCACAGCACATGTGGTACATTTTCTCACAGAAAGAACTGAGTGCTGTGGAAAAATATAAGATGGACATCTAACTCAGATTTGCAGCTTGGAATCTTCCCACTGAAGTTGATGCCAAGTTGAAGACAGGGAAGAATGCATAGGGATAATACAAAGTAGTCTTTTCTACTCTCTTTAGCCTTAACCTGAAAGTTCTACACAATCTTGAGGTTTGGTTTATTTTGAGGGAAGATTCTACTTTTCCTGTTTTCCAATGCTATGCCTTAATCTATTTTAGTTGCTAATGGTAAGTGAAGCAGATTTTCTTTTTCAAAATATAAAAGTAATAATTTTATTTAAGGGTATTGGTGGAATATATACATTCTTATACTGAACTTCTGCTTATACTTTGTCATATGGTGTTCATTTTTAAAGAAAATTTATATATGTAATAAATAGACACATAATATTTACATATACATGTATATATCTGTATCTGTATCTGTCTGCCATCAAATTGTTCTCTGTACCAGGAGTTTATACTCCCTATATTTAAGGGCCGATGCTGATGTCTTCTCTAGATCTTTACGTCTTTTAGATCTTGGCACTTCCACACTCACAAAAACCCCTGCTTTGGGTATTCGTGTCATCTGGATACCCCACCTTGTAACCTTCCTCATTTGCAGACCACTGGGACATTTTTCTTTATTTAGTGGGACCTTTGCTTTAGATTTAGTCTTCCTTTTCACCTTAGCTTCCTCCTGGGTTACTTCTGTGATTCATCCACAACCTTGGCCTTGAATTTTATCGATCTTCTCACCTTTAGTGATTGACTCTTTTCCACATTAGCACTCAGTCTCATGACCCACATTCTATTCCTTGTCACCCAGAACTGATTTACTTCTGAAGTTCAATTCAGGTTGATCACTGAACATACTACTTCCTATATTTCCATGTTTCTTAATCATCTGCTTCTGATTTATCTTTAACAGGATTTCCAATCCATATGATTTCTTTATCAGTCCCTTACTAAATTTACTTTCTTACTTCTTCATCATCTTGTCAGTCTTAAACCTTTCTCTTGCCAGTGTTTTCTAATTCCTCCCCAACTGATAAAGTCTCGACTCTGTATTTTTCCAACTGAGCACTACTGGAGAAAATCACGTAGACAGTAACAAGCACAAAAGCTTATTGTTAGCAGCCTCAAGTGGGCCCACACAATTGTGCCGTAATTCTGTTTTTTTCTAGTCCTCTCACTTTTCACAGAGGTTATTTTAGACATTCACCACTCTCCTCACACCTCCAGCTTTTCACTTTCTTTCTCACACTCAGCAGATGACTTATTTCATTTCACAGAGAAAATGGAAGTGCTCAGATGAGAACTCCTACAGTTTCCTGCCACCGAACCTACCAACATATTTACATCTGCATTCATTCTGTTTTGTTTGTTTGTTCTTACTGTTAATAGGGGGAAGAGTCTTGCTTTCAAGGAGTGGAAAAATCATATGCCTTTAGAAACCAAGTAGATAATATAAATATGTGAAGCGGTAGAGTAAGGAGTAGTTCTATGGCTTGTAGCAAATTGATAAGAGCTATCTAAGGACAGCAAATTTAAGTTTTTAATACTCTTTATCAGCTGGAAAAAGTCTGCCATGATGAGCATGGCTTCTGATCAAAGAGTAATCTCTACTTCTGAGCTCTGGGTTCCATCCCCTAAAGCCGTCTTAGGGGCTTTACCCTCCTGAATATGCCTGTTTTCTCCAGTATCCATCCGTCTTTTGCTATTAGTTCTTTCCCATAAATACTTGAAGATTTTCAAGTTTGTCCCATCTTTTAAAACCTTATTTATCTCTGTTTTTTTCTTTAGCTGCTGTAGTTGCTCTACTTTTACTTTTAAACTAAAGAGAGAGTTGCCTACAATTTTGGTGTTTGACAAACTTAGATTGGAGTCCTTCCTCTACTATTTATGAGCTTTGAGACTTTCATTCTCTCCAAGCCTGTTTCCTCGTCTATAAAAATGAATATAATATTTATTCCCAGTCATAAAGTTAAGTATTAAGTGAGAGAATACATGTAAGATAGCCTCAAACAAGGACATATTGAGTATTCAGATATTGCTTTGTCTCCTCAAAGCACGCTCTTCTGCAGTTGTTCCTGACACACACCCCTGGCTTACCTTTTGTTTCTGTGAATACTCCTTTGGGTTCCTTGGGCTCTTTGTCCTTTCCTTACCCTTTAAGTGTTTATATTGCTCATGTTCATATTCCTCAGGATTCTTTCTTGGTCTTTGTGCTATTATTAAGGTTGAGCTATCAATTTGGCTATAATCTCTCCAGAAGCCAAAGCAAAGAAGAAGCATTATGATGATATTAATTTATAGTTAATGACCATTTACTATGTGTTAGGCATTTTTATAAGTACGTTACATGTGCTACTTGATATAGTCTTCACAACAACTCTATGAGGTAGATGAGGACACTGAAGTACTGAGAGGTAACCCTGCCTGAAGTCTTACTGCAGGTTTTCAATTCTGTACAGTTGAATTCTGGAGCCTGCCTTTCTAACTATAACACTATACACTCTTCCAAAACAGTTACATGATTAGTTGTGTTTAGAAGAGTAAAAGTTATCTTCAGGGGAACTAAAGCATCTTCAGGGACCTACGTCTGAAATGAGGTATGTGATGATTCTTTGGGGAGGTAGTAGAGTATCCTCAGCCATGATCCTATAGTAAATACCATAGAGTAACATTTCCTTCTCATGGAGAATGTCAGTGTGGGAGAAGAACATAATACTATACCAAAGCAAAACATACCAAATATAGTTTTTCTATAATTACATTTCTCAAACAGCCCTTTGATAGAAATTTGGGAGCTAACATTTCAAAGTTATGTTCAATACTTTAAAAAGGACAAAAACAGTGTCTTACTCATCTTTATATCTACAATATCTAGCCCAATACCAGTCACTTAGAAATTATTTAGTCGCTATTTGTGGTATGAATGTGGCCACACTTAGCCGGTCAGCTACTTAAGAAGGAATGTCTTGGGACAGGATGTGTTTAACATGACAGGTTCTAGGGGTGGAGTTGATAGTTGCTTGCAAGATCTGATGAGTTCAAAGAGGGAGAATAAATAGGAACTTTGTCCCTGTGTCCTGCTTCTCCTCGCCATTTCTGTATTCATTTATCTCTTAATTTATTCAGAAGCATTTATTTCATTGATACTTTATACCAAATACTGTGTAAGGTGATGGAGATCCAGTGGTAAATAAGACAAAGTTCCTGGGCCAGCCCCAGTGGCCTAGTGGTTAAGTTTGCCGTGCTCCGCCTCAGCAACCCAGGCCCAGTTCCTGGGCGTGGACCTACACCACTCGCCTGTCAGTGGCCATGACGTGGGAGCGGCTCACGTACAAAAAAAGAGGAAGATTGGCAGCAGATGGTAGCTCAGGGCCAATCTTCCTCAGCAAAAAAAAAAAGACAAAGTCCCTGCCCTTAAGAGATGTTTACACTCTGTTGAGGTAAATAGAAAACGAATTTGATGGTACAGTGAGATCAATACTCTGATGGAGGCAAGTAGTCATATAATATGCAGCTATTCAGACAGTGAGAGCAGGTTAGAGGATACATGGTGCATTCAGAGAACTTCAGATCTTCAGTGGAGTTGGAGGGTAAAGTGTGAATATGAGAAATGGTGAGAAATGAGACTTGTAGTAAGCAGGGCCAGGTGTGGTTTTAAGGTTTTCACTTCTACCCCTCTTCCCATATCTCTACAATCCCTTTCTACTGGTCTGGTGAGTGGAAGAAAGATCAGGGTAGAAATATGTTCCAAGTGCCACAAAATTCCTTTTTTGCTGAATACCACAACTGAAACTGCATGATTAATCTCTTCAGTAACCATTTTTCATTGTAGATGTTTGATATTCGTGTGGCTCTTCGTCTCTGAATGTGAACTCCTCAAGAACGAGGGCTGTATTTTATTCATTTCTGTGTCTTGAGCATCTAATAGTAACTCAGTAAATGTTGAAAAAGTCATTTAACATGGATAGTCATTTTGTATATTATTCTAGTAACCAAAGCATAGGTGTCCTGTTTTTTCTATGAAAAACAGAGCTCAAGTTTTAAACAAACGAACTTATAAACTACTCTGTGAGTTTAAGATTACCGGTCTTTGAGTAGGGAAAAATTACTAAATAGAAAAGTTAAGGATTTTTTTTAATTACAAGGACATTCACAGCTTCACAGAAGAATTCAATACAGAATTTGGTCAACTATGTTTTGTTTGAAATGTTTTATTATTGTTTTTATTATAGACATATGAGGAAGGTCGAAGAAACTACTCTGAGCTTCAAGTTAGATGTCAGCGTTTGGCCTTAGAATTAGCAGACACAAAACAGTTAATTCAGCAAGGTGACTACCGTCAGGAAAACTATGATAAAGTCAAGAGGTAAGTAGTTAAGATGGCTGTCGTACTTGTTCTTGTTTCGAGCATGCAACAAGATCACCTGAATTCTTACCATCAGCATTGTTAATTCTACTTTGTACCTTATTCTTTCTCTGTCTCCATAGTTTTGACTTTTCCAGAATGTCATATAATTTGAATCATACAGTATGGAGCATTTTCAGATTGGCTTCTTTCACTTAGTAATATACATTAAATTTTCGTCCATGTCTTTTCATGGCTTGATAGCTCATTTTCTTTCAGCACTAAATAATATTCCATTGTTTAGATATATCACAGTTTATTTATCCGTTCACCTACTGAAGGACATCTTGGTTGCTCCCAAGTGTTGGCAGTTATGAATAAGGCTGCTGTAAACATCCATGTGTAGGTTTTAGTATGGGCATAAGTTTTCAACTCCTTCGGGTAAATACCAAGGAGCATGATCATATGGTAAGAGTATATTTAGTTTTGTAAGAAACTGCCAAACTGTCTGTCACAAAGTAGCTGTATCATTTTGCATTTCCACCAGCAAAGAAGAAGAGTTCCTCTTATTCCAAATCCTTGCCTATTTGGTGTTGTCAGTGCTCCGGATTTTGGCCATTCTAATAGGTGTGTAGTGGTATATCATTGTTTTAATTTGCATTTCCCTGCTGACATATGATGTGGAGCATCTTTTCGTGAGCGTCTGTTGTCTTTGGCCCATTTTTTTTTTTTTTTAAAGATTTTATTTATTTTATTTTTTCCCCCCAAAGCCCCAGTGGATAGTTGTGTGTCGTAGCTGCACATCCCTCTAGTTGCTGCATGTGGGACCCGGCCTCAGGATGAACGGAGAAGCGGTGCCTCGATGCGCACCCGGGATCCGAACCCGGGCCGCCAGCATCGCAGCGCGCGCACTTAACCACCAAGCCACAGGGCCGGCCCTGGCCCATTTTTTAATTGGATTGTTTTTTTCCTGTTGAGTTTTATGTATATTTTGGATAACAGTCCTTTATCAGATTTTTCTTTGGCAAATATTTTCTCCCAGTCTGTAGCTTGTCTTTTCATTCTCTTGACATATATCTTATTCTTCATTGCACAAAAGCATGTAGTTTTGGCAGTTTGTTGGGTTTAGATTGTATTTTTATATAGGTTGTTTTTATTTCATTTAGAAGTTACTGCAGGGGACCGGCCCCATGGCTTAGCGGTTAAGTGCTCGCGCTCTGCTACTGGCGGCCTGGGTTCGGATCCTGGGCACGCACCGACGCACCGCTTGTCCAGCCATGCTGAGGCGGCGTCCTACATGTAGCAACTAGAAGGATGTGCAACTATGACATGCAACTATCTACTGGGGCTTTGGGGGAAAAAAAAGGAGGAGTATTGGCAATAGATGTTAGCTCAGGGCCGGTCTCCCTCAGCAAAAAGAGGAGGATTGGCATGGATGTTAGCTCAGGGCTGATCTTCCTCTCACACACACACAAAAAAAAGAAGTTGCTGCGGTCTTAAAATTTGTCTTAGAACATAGGACCTAGTAAAATATCATGTGTGTAAATATTTTTAAAATCTTATTTGATGATTATTTTTATTTTATGGAATCAATTTAAATACTTCACAGTTTTATCTGAAGTTTATTCAACTATTCCTTTCTGACAAAAGGCACACATACTTTCAAAAAATAACACTTTCTGAGAATATGTTTCCCAATATGTTACTACTAAGAACCTATGGCAAATAATTTTCCTTTTACTGGAATATGCGTTTCTGTTGTTTGTACATTAATGAACCACTGATTAGCTGTGTGTTCTTAGGTAAATCTCTTATCATTTTAAGCCAAAGTTTTGTCATCCATAAGAGATGGTGCTAATACAAATAACTGCACTATGTAAACTAAGAAGATCAAATAAAGGAATATTTATGGAAGTCTTTATTTCTGTATATATAGAGAGAGAAAGAGAAAGAGAGAAACATTATCCTAATTGTTCGCTGCTATATCTGCCTGCACCTAAAATAATTCTTGAAATATAGTAGTAACTCATTGAATATTTGTTAAATGAATGAATGCTTTATAAATTGTATAACACCATAAGTAAATTTTCAAGGATTTGGGGATATAACATTGGTGCTCCTGCTCCCAGCATGACTAACATTCAGTGTGTATTATTATGTATGTATTGTTATGTCAAAATATAGTAATTATTGGAGCTTGAAATCCATGAAAGCTATGCTCAGTGGGCTCTTCAATAAAGCTGAATTTCCAAAGAATCATTTCAAAATGAAGTAGATTGTGATGGTAAGATGACACTTTGAATTGGTGTCTTGATGTTCTCTCTGCCACCATAAATCTATATCAATAGTAGATAAGATATGAAAAGAGAACACTAGAAAGCATAATGATCAGAGTAATCTAGAGTGGCCATGAATAAAGGATAAACCAAGAGGAGTCATGAGTTGATAGTTGTTGAAACTGAGTGATGAGAGCAGGAGGATTCATTATATTATTTCTATTTATATATATGTTTTATTTTCTATAATAAAAACCTAGGAAAGAAAAACATAGCCCTAATCAAAAACATGATAAACATCTTCGTGTGCTAGAAATGGAACAGAAAAACAAGCAAGAGGGGCTCAAACTGTGAACACTTTTTTTCACTCAATAGGAAGAATGGATTAAAAAAGACGTTCTGGTCACAAAAATATAAGATAAACTGGGGGGAAATCACTTTTATGTCCTTGATAAATTCTAACAAATGTGCAAAACGAAACAGGTATATGGATGTTAATTGCATCATTATTAGAAAGAATTCAAATGCTCTTCAACAGTGGAATAGAAAATTGTGATTTATTTCTACAATGTAACTCTATATAGCAGTTAAAGTTGTTAAATTTGATCTAAATGTATCTATATGGATAAGTCAAACACAAAATACTAAATTTTAAAAAGAAAAATGCGTGTCCATTTTTTTTTCCTTTTTAAAACAGTTCCTGGCTTTCTGGCATCACAATGTTCTCAGGTTTATTTTGTAATTTTGTTGCCTTAGCCCTTTCTTTAAGGAGTCCTGGTTCCTTTTAGTGGGTAATGCTATTCAGAAATCAAGATTTGGGTGCTGGTCAATGCTACATTGGTTATTGTTTCTAGGCCTTTTTAGTAGGCAGCAGCAGTGGAGAGGGAAGAGGAAAGATGGCTTTAACAACACTATGAATAAGATCATACTGATACCTCTAATTCCAATTCAACATCACAATATCCAGTTGAGGGGGCTCAAACTGGCCAAATATGTACAACTTGAATATCAAAATGAATATTAACAATAATGAGTTATAATCCATCAAATAGAATAAGAATCCCTGAGTGCATGCTAATAAAAAGTAGAAAAAGAGGATCTTGACAGTAGAACATCAACCAATAAATACAAATGCATATTAGAGTTACTATTTTGTAACCTCATAATAATTTTGATTCAGCCTCATCAGTGGATAATTGAGTAAAAGTATGTTAGGGATCAATATTTACATAATTTCAGAGCATGTCCCTACGGATTACTTATTAATTGCAAAAAGCAAAAAGCTACTTCACAGTTGAGAACTTGGGCAGATACCACCTTAAGCAAATGATCAAAGTTACTCTCACCAATCATGGGATAAAGTGACATCATGTGCCTCTTTATGTGATGTACTGAGGACACATTATCACTTCTGTGGTATTCCTGCCCAAAGTGCTTAACCTGGATCTAATCATAGGGAAACATAAGACAAGTGAAAATTGAGCAACGTTCCACAAAACGGTTGGCCTGTGCTCTACAAAAAGTCAGTCATACAAGACGAAGACTAAGGAACTATTCAAGATTAAAAGAGATTAAAGACACATGACATCCAAGTGCAATGCATGATAATACATTGGATCCTGGACCAGGGAAAAATTGCCATGAAGGACGTTTTTAGGACAGTTGACAAAACTTGAAAATAGATTATATTCAAAGCCTCCTGAATTTTATAATTATACTCTGGTTATATAAGAGAATATCTTTAATCTTAGGAAATTTACACCAAATTATTTAGGGATAAAGGGACCTAATGCCTGCATATAACTCTTAAATAGTTGAGGGAAAAAAAAATGCACATGGATAAGTGTGTGTTTGTGTGTAGATGTCTATACATGTATTATGTGTGTGTATACATATATACATTGACATATATGAACATCAGAGAGGGAGAGAATAAATATGACAAAGTAATATTTAGTAAACATTACAAAGTAAATATGACAAAATAACAGTTGGTAAATAAAATTATGTAAAAAAATATGATATGGAAACACTAAATTCATCATTGTATCTAGGGGATGATATAGGAACAGTGAGGAAAATATAGATAACTTCAAGTTTACCCATGGTTTTTTATCTTTTTAAAAAACAAAACTTTAGGGGCCGGGCCCGGTGGCGCAAGTGGTTAAGTGTGTGCACTCCGCTGCGGCGGCCCGGATCCCCGGGCGCGCACCAACACACCGCTTGGCAAGCCATGCTGTGGCGGCGTCCCATATAAAGTGGAGGAAGATGGGCATGGATGTTAGCCCAGGGCCAGTCTTTCTGAGCAAAAAGAGGAGGATTGGCAGATGTTAGCTCAGGGCCGATCTTCCTCACAAAAAAAAAAAAAACTTTAATGCAAATATAGACAAATGTTAACTGTTGTTAACTGTGGATAGCAAGTTTATAGGTGTTTTGCTATATCATGCTTTGTAATCATCTTTTACATAAAAAATTCATGGCAAAGGGAATGTAATCATTACCTTGTGAAAGTAAAAGCATTTGCTTGTAAAAGCACAAAATACTTAAAGTAATATGTACCAAAATATTAATACTGATAGTCATCTTTAGTTAGTGGGTTTATGGATGGTGGTTATTTTTTAACTTATGCTTTGCTCACTTTTCTTCAATAAACATAATACTTTGTTAACCAGAAGAAAAAAATCTTTCTAAATGAGTTATTGAAAATCTAATGAAAAGAAAAACAATTCTTAATAGCCCTCTCCATCTAAATACCAGGTGAGTAGATGAAATAAAGTACAAAGGAACTGATTCTGACTAGAAGGGATAAATTAAGAGTTAATAAATCTATTTCTCTGCTCATTTTTTAAGATACCTGTTACAGGTTTGGTCCAATTCTTGGTTTTACTGTTTGGGGGAAAGAGCTAGTCTGAAAATGGAAATTTGAATTTCTAGGTAATCATAAACAGTTTGTGAATGAAATAGTCACAAGAATGGCTGCCTGTGTGTCTGCTGTGCAATCTGAGTGATGAGTTAAGGGCTTTTTGACCCTCACTGAACTGAAAGCCTAGAGCCGTGTATAAATTCTTTAAAAGTTTTGGCTTCAAGATAAGATTGAAGACGACTAGTAAAAAAATCTTAGAAAGGTGAAAACCTTAGAAAGTTTTTATTGTTTACTGGCTAGTATAGTTTACATATTTTTTTAAAGATAATAAATTCATATTTATGTATCTGAACAAGATCTTGAAGAGAGTTTCTTCTAAATTTGAAAAGCAGATACTTTATTGTTCGTAGAATGACATTAAGCCCTGCTGTTAGTGTGTCTGTTCCATTTCCTGAAACATAATAGACCCTTTTAAAATGTTCATTGTAAAAAGGGATGTAAAATTTACATATGTATTTGAATTTTATTGTAGTAAAAATAAATAAGTAAATGTATTTGAATTTTATAGTGAACGTGATGCACTTGAACAGGAAGTAAGTGAGTTAAGGAGAAAACATGAAATACTTGAAGCTTCTCACATAACTCAAACTAAAGAAAGAAGTGAATTATCAAAAGAGGTAAGGTTATAGAGTCACTTGTATTTTTTTGTCCAGTGATTGTGGACATATCCCAGGGCAAAATTGTGGGAGGGACGTTTTTTCCTTTTTGATGTGGTTGCTAGAAAAAAGGGACTTTTCATAGCTCTGTTTGAATGAAAAATTTCAAGGTAAGAATTAGCCCTTTTTATGTGGTGAGCGAAAGCACAAATGAAAAAAAATATACAGTAAACCGTAAAAAGTAAGATGACATTGCTCTGGACACTGTCTCTGCGTACATGTAGGTAACCACCTTACAGCAGACTGTTACTTTACTGCAAAAGGATAAAGACTATCTCAATCGCCAAAACATGGAGCTTAGTGTTCGCTGTGCCCATGAAGAGGACCGCCTTGAAAGACTTCAAGCACAACTTGAAGAAACCAAAAAGGCTAGAGAAGAGATGTATGAAAAATATGTAACATCCAGGCAAGATTTACATTATTTTCCATATAAATAGATATAAATTAACACCAACTTCTTTGAGGGAATTCTTGGCTTTGAGAAAGAATAGTGATATTTTTAAGGTCTATAGGATGATGTTAAGATAATAGTTCATTTTGTTTCTTACAAGATACTCTTATTCTAATTAATTTTTTCTTAAGACACTGTGGTTTTTCCAGCAACCAAAAGCCTATTTCTTTTAGGTAGGGGAATATATCTCTATTTGTATTTTTTTCTTATGACGTAACCTTTTTAATTCCCTATGATTAAGCTCTCTATAAGTATTTTTTGAAAGAAAGGATATAAATTTCTCTATAGAAGTATCTTTCTGAAGAAAATCTAATCATGCGGAGCCTAACTAAGCTCACGTTTTCCTGACTGTGTGAAACATAAAAGAAGAATGAGGAGACAGCATTGCATACTGTTTTAAGATACAGGCTCTGGCATCAGACTCCTGCATTTCAGTCCTGTGTTCTCTCTTCAACTAGATGTATAAGCTGTTAGAATTCCTTTATACTAATAGCCCTTGTAATCCTTGAGTTACTTATTTTTATCAACACATCAAAAAGTAAAACAAATTCTACATTTTATCCTTTAAGAAGTCACACATTCATAACTTTTTCCCTAGCCTGTGATATTTTTCATCAGTTTGTGCTCCTGCTAATACCCTATGTAATCCTTTGTGACTTTGCTAAGAGATCACAATGGCTGTGGTTGTTGTGCTTAGAAGGAAAGGTTGTAAAAGTCAGAGTCATTTTGTTTTTTTATTTTATTTAATTTTGTTTCTCAACATCTACCACAGTAGATTATTATTTCTAAGTGAAGAACATTCCATATGCATCAGTTTTCGAGTCTCTGGCCATGTGCATTAAAAACTATTAGTAAAATATTTTTGAAGATGAATAATTATTCAACACAACTAACATTTTATGTACTTATTAAGTCTTTAGGGCAATATGTTTAAAAGGAAATCTTAGATGAAACTAGTTTGGAACAATATTTTTAGAAATTATAAAACTTTAATAGCTATGTTTTTCAAGTAACATTGTATATAAAGCATATTTGACACAAAATATTAAAATCTTACATGAAGGGCAAAAGCCTGTGTCTTTTACAAAAAAAAAAAAAATCATGGATATTCCTTTTGACTCCTTGCAGAGACCATTATAAAACAGAATATGAAAATAAACTACGTGATGAACTGGAACAAATCAGGTTGAAAACTAATCAAGAAATTGATCAGCTTCGAAGTGCCTCTAAGGAAATGTATGAACGGGAAAACAGGTAAAAAAAAAAAAAAAAAAGTAGAGAATTTGTGTGTTATTTTATTTCTCTTTGAAGCTTATAGTTTCATTGAAATTAAACTTTATTTCTATGATGATGTCTTTTTTAATACATTAAAGAAAATTTGTCATAAATCTAAATATAATGGAACATTAAAGTTATAAGATCTTTGATAACTAGCTTAGAGCAGGGGTTATCAGGCCTTAGACCTCTTTACTCTGGTATTCCCACTGTCTCTTTATTACCCTGGCAACTTGTATTTTGCCTTTACCTCAGTTCAGATTGAGGACAGAGGTGAAAAGGAAATTAGAGAAAACTAAGAGATACCAGTAGTTCTTCCTGTGACATGCCAATGATTTCTCCAGAAAATTTTAAAAACTGGGATAATAATATGAAATATTGCCTATACCTTATTTAGGTGCTGGCCCTGAAAGACATCATATTAGATAATCTTGAAAAAGGATCATTTTTATTCATGCAATTACTTTTAGATCACTATATAAGAGGTTCCCTTAGTTAGTGATTGGCAGTATTAGGGGAAAATAAATGCTACTTATTTCAATAGCAGTTATTTTCATAAACCATCATTATAGTTCATATGTCTTTTGAAAGTTTATATTTTAGTGGGAAAATTGTTCTGAAATTGACTTAATTGTCCTACTCTAGTTTATCAGCACTGATTTGAGTGTATATTTTGATCTTTGCCAACAAGCAAGACTTTAAATGAGACTAAGTTTGATGTTAGAAAGGTTTACATTTGAGCTCTCAGAGCAATAAATTCACTTATTTAGCAAATATTGATTGAGACCTACCATTTGCCAGATACGTGCTAGATGCCATAAATACAGTGGTGACCTCTGCCTTCACAAAGCTTGTGATCTAATGGAGGATAAAGACAAATAGAGAAACAATGATCATAATTATGATAAAGGAGAAATTGGCAGGATACACAGGATGAGAACACATAGACTCAAGGTGTATCTAACCCAGCCTTGGGAGAAATTAGGGAAGTCTGCATGGAGGGAGAAATACCCATGTTAACCACCTACATGATGTCTAAGAGTAAGAATGTGAGTTAGGGGAGGGGTGGGAATTGAGGGAATGAGTGAACAGCATGTATAAAAACCTGGAGGCGGGGCCGGCCGCTGGTGTAGCAGTTAAGTTCCTGCATTCCGCTTTGGCGCCCCAGGGTTTCGCCGGTTTGGATCCTGGGCACAGGCCTACTCACCACTCGTCAAGCCATGCTGAGGCAGCGTCCCATATAGAAGAGCTACAACTCTACAACTGTGATACACAGCTATGTACTGGGGCTTTGGGGAGAAAAAAGAGAAAAGAGGAAGATGGGCAACAGATGTTAGCACCAGGCCAATCTTCCTCAAAAAAAAAAAAAAAACGTCTGGAGGCAGGACAAAATTAAGCTTTTTGAACAAACTGAAATTCAGTATGGCTAGAGCGCAGACTGAGAGGGAGTTATAAGAGATGAAACAGAAGAGGGAAACGGGTCCAAAACATGCATTGGACAGTTGTCTAAGATCAGTGGGGAACGATTGAAAGATTTTAAGAATATGAGTGATATGATCATATGATCTGATTTCTGAAAAGACTGTTCTGCAGTGTGATTAATAGATTGGAGGACTATAAAGCTATAGACAAAGAGGCCACTTTTTAGAGGTTGTCTTCATTATCAAGTTGCGAAGTGATGATGGAACTAGATTAGTAGCAGTAGAGATGGAAAGAAATGGGCCAGATTGGAATAATATTTAGGAGGTGGAACGATTAGGATTCAGTGACTAGATTGGATTGGGCCATGAGAAGAAGTTAAGGATGTTACCGGGTTTCTGGATTGGGCAGCTGCATGGATGGTGATACAGTTTTTAAACGTTTGGAAAACGTGTTAAATTTAGTTTCATTTCGTTTGAAGTATCTGTGAAATATAGAAATGGAAACGTTGACTATATAAAGTTCTGAATCTCAGGAGAGAGATCTGAACATGAGATCGACCTATAGCATAGGTGATATTATTTCTGTTTTACAAATAGGTACTTTTAGTCTTGTGGCCCAATTCTGTATGGATTTTTTAAGCTTTTATTGACCTACTTAATAACAACCTTAAAATTTATAGGCTTATTTCTATGATAACATGCATGATTATTTCCAAACAGTCCACATAGCCACATAAACTTTGGTATGTAATCATTGTGAGAATTTCCTGAGTTTTTAGTTTTTGTTGTTGTTGTTTTAAAAAAAAAGTTCTTAGATACATCCCATGGTAACATAAGTTTAGATAAATTAGCCCCTCTTCTCTAAGATAGTTGATAGAGGTAGGTTGGGAAACAGCTGACAATCGTTTCTGGAAGCAGGGAAGCTGAAAGCAGGTTTTCTTTTCCCCGGTGTTGTTCTGACTCCATGTGCACATCAAAATGGCTAGGGCCTAACCAGGAGATTCCTGGGATTGAGGCTGTTGCCCTGGAAGCCCCAGCCAGACAGGGGACCCAGAATGACCCCGTGGATATTGAAGCTAGAGTGGACCCTTGCCACCAGGTGGTGCCAAACTGCAGCCCAGTCCGAATGGGTTTGAATTGCACAGGAACTCCAAGCCAGCTAGTTGTATAGTCTCACCTTTATCATTTTATTAACCTCACAGTAATCCAACCTTGTATTTTATGTGGCTGAATCTTTTGAATCACAGTTTCCTCATTACAGCAGGATTTAACTGTAGTTAGAGCTTATGTCCCACTAGTCTTTTACAAGGTAAAAATAAATTGTAAATTATTTCTTCTGAAATCTTATAACTTAGAATAATTCAGGAAAGGATTTTAGTATTCTTTGTTATAAAACATGAGATTCAGAACAAGTTTATGCATTTAGATATTTTTGTGTCTGGACAAATTAATCACTGCTTTGGACTTAGATGTGTAATTGTGTCTGTTACTTGTATTTTATCAAAGTGTGCTCTTACAATATGAGTTAAAATGGATAAGTTCTTACATTTGCATCTTTGTACTTAGTCTCCTCATCTCTCTCTCTCAATAAACATTTTTGGAAGAAAGTTAGATGACAAGATTAGAGAAATATGTTTTGCCTTTGGTTTGCTTTCTGTACATTGGGGGATATTAAGAGAGTGCCTTTAGATGTGGAAAAGAAAGATGGAACTCATGCCATGCAATCTGGGTATCTGCCCCTGCAGTCATACCAGTTGTTTGTGAAGTTAAGGGATTGAGAGGGAAGAGGAAGAGAGTAGAAGAGATAGAGAGTTAAGAAAAGGCATAGATAAGCAAAGAAAGAATTTGGGTACATCAAAAATACTATAGATGGGGTTATAGTGTGTATGTATGCTTTGGTTCAGTCTGTGAGTTAAGTTTTTTGTCTTTTTCTGTACTTTATGGTTGCTTTAAAATGACACTTTGAAGCTGTGGGAAATAATGAGTGAAACTCACTCTGGTGGTGAGATTTATTATATAAATAACTTGTTGCTTAGTAGGTATTATATGACTCAAATATACGATCTTACACATTTGGAAGAAAAGCATTATTCCCTGAACAGGGAGTATATTATGAAAGAGATTTGGAGCAAAAGACTAAACTTAAATTCTGGCTGTACCACTTATCAGCTGACTGAATATGTCACTTAATATCCCTGAAGTTTAATTTCCTTTTTGATAAAATGAGCTAATAATACTCTTTCACAGAGTGGCCTGTAAGGTCTAAATGAGATAATATATGTGGAAAGTACTTTATAGGTGATAAAGCCAAATATAAATGATAGTTATTTTGATACCTTTTTTCTATATGCAGTACTTAAAAATTTCTTTTATCCATTGTATTGACAGTTTAAGTAAAATGAGCATTATATAAAAAACTGATAACATTATGGAATTGTTTATCATCATTAAAAGGCTCTATTAGAAAATATGTAATTATTCTTAATTATTGATCTCCGTAGCACTTAACCATTTTTCATAAATGACACAATATAGACGTAGAGGGGCTTCATGCCATTTGTTTCAGTCTAAATTTCTGCATAAAATGGCTACCTTATTTGTTCCTAATTAATACTGTGTGATAATAAAGTAAGGAAAGATAAATTCAGCTGATTAAGTTTTTCTAGAAAGTAAAACTGCCTTTACCTAAGGTAGTCTCAACCACAGAAAGAACTGTTCTCATAGTGATATTGTGAAAGGGGTAAGGATGAGTTTGTTAGAGGTATTCATTACGCTCTTGGTGCTGCACGGAATATGGAAATTCAGATTGCTTTACAGTTATTTGAAAAGGGGAAGGCTGTAGGGAAAGGAAGATCTAAAATATGCTTTTAAATGTAACAACTAGTATTGCTTTAGTGATGTTATTTTCCCATCATATCAATAAACCGTCTTGACTTCAATTCATCATCTTTCAAAAATACTCAAGAAGAAACTTTAATGACATAAACTTGGAATTTGTGTAGAATCTTGTAGTGATATTAAACACCTTTGAATCTTGAATCTAAGTTTATTTACAAAGGTTAGTTGAGAATACATAATGCATTACAATAGGTGACTTGGAACTAGTGTACAGAGGCTCCATCCATCATTTTAAAAGTGTATGTCCTCATTAGTGTTTAAACAAACAGACAGACGTCTTTCGTTCATATCTTACCAGTTACCTGTATAATTTTTTAAGTTCTTTTATGGAAAAGCTTAAGAATATTCTACTTTGTCTTTTTAGTTAGATTATTCTGAAAATACATGGCTTTACAGATGACCGTTTGAATATCTTAACTTCTCTAATAATTGCAAATGAAATTTTATTGTTAACTATCTTTTATTGTTAACTATATTCTTTATGCCTGTTGGTGATTACCACGTGTTCACTGCTTAATTAGTAATATTTAAGTATTTCAGGGTGTATAGGGTGTTCCAGATAGGAAGCAAGGTGAGTTCTTAGATTTACCTGCATTGTATAGCTACAGAGTACCATGTATAGTTGCATTGTATAGATGCAAGAACTTAGATTTACCTGCA